CATCTCCAGTTTAACATCGGGTAAGCATTCCTAAGAAGTTTCCTCACCCCTTACCTCATCCAAAAGGTTAAAATGGGGAACTGTAAGTCCTTTTTAAAAATAACAAGCTTTATTGAGATATTACTCACCGTATGTAAAGTACTTTGTTTTCCCCACATTTACCTTTAGGAAAAAGAGCTAAAATTTCTACCGTCTCTCATGCTACTAGAGCACAGTGCCTTGCAAGGGCTGAAATAGACTCGATTTTTCTCTTTAATATTTAAATTTAAAAAGAAATGCAGGCTTGCTGTAAAAGTAATTCAGATATTTCCAAAATCCCTCGTTTGCCTTAATCCTGAAGCCCTCCCAGGAGGTGATGACCTTGTACAGTTTGGTGTGTACTGTCCCATCTTCATGTATTTACTAGAGGCCAAGTGCATGAATTCCTGCATGGGTGAGGTCCGGCCAGCCCAGCCCCATTGGGGTGGATCGGGGCCAGGCCTGTCGGGAGGAGGAGACGGCAGGAGGTTGGCCAGCTGGCCCTCCCCAATTGGGGTCCCATCAGGGCCAGGCCAGCTGGAGGAAGGGGTCGAGGGTGATTGGCCGGTGGGCCCCGCCCCCAATTTAGGGGGGCGATTGGGGGCGGGGAGGGGCTGTGAGCAGTTGGCTGGCCAGCCCCAACCCTGATCAGGGTGGGGAGGCCTATCTGGGGTGGGGCCGGGCAGGAGGAGGGACTGCAGGAGGTTGGCCGCCGCCCTGCCCCCTATTGGGGTGCAAGAGGCTGATCAGGGGTGGGGCCGGTTGAGGGGAGGGGCTGGGGGAGGTTGGCTGGCCGGCCCCACCCCCTGATCAGGCTGGTTCGCTGGCTGCAGTGGGCGTCATAGCGACCGGTCATTCTGGTCCTTACGGTGTTCCGGTCGCTGGCTTTTTATATATATAGATAGTCGTGTAAAAGTATTTGTGTATACACGTTATAATTTTAGGACTTTTTTAGAAAATACGCACACAAATAGATCATACTTCTTCTGCAGCTTGCTTTTCCCCGCTTACACTGTATTTACATTTTACATTGCTTTCCTCATCCACAGAGATCCTACAGCAAAGAGTTGTTTGAAGAAGTTATTTCGAAGATGCGGAAGGCGGGGATCAAATCCACAATCGCGATAGAGAAGTTTAAACTCCTCGCCGAGAAGGTGGAGGAGATAGTGGCCAAGAACGCGCGCGCCGAGATCGACTACAGCGACGCTCCGGACGAGTTCCGAGGCAAGTGGCCGCTTTCCTCCTGCCCAGTCCTTTGACCTGAGTTCACTGGAAACAGTAACGGTAAAAGGACGGACGTTCTGTGCTTCCAGCTTGTTCCTGGTGTGCGGTGGTTGCTTTTGAGACACTGTCTGAAATGGCATCTGCCTGCTTTTAGCTCATATTGTAAATTAAAAGAGGAGAAAAGGTCCTTAGCCTGATTTCAAACCAGGTAAAACCCCAAAGATTCTAAGGCCGCCTCACCTTTCCAAGTGGGGATTGGCGTTTCCAAAGCATCCCGAGAAGTCCAGACGAAAGCTGTCTGGCCCAATCCTTTTCTCTCTTCTTTCCTCCCAGCGGTAGCTGATAAAAGGTCACTTTCCCTCGAAACCTGGGGCCCATTTGGTTGCTATTCTTATGGACATTTGTTTTATTTTTCCCTGTTGGCCGGAGAGGCTTCGTTTTGTTTCCGGTTGTAGGTCCTATTAGGTTAGAAGTTGCTCTGCTCTGTCTCTGTAGACCCTCTGATGGACACCCTGATGACTGACCCCGTGCGGCTGCCCTCCGGCACCATCATGGACCGCTCCATCATTCTGCGGCACCTGCTCAACTCCCCCACGGACCCCTTCAACCGGCAGACGCTGACCGAGAGCATGCTGGAGCCAGGTACAGGGTGCACGGCTGGGGGGGCGGTGCCTACAGCAGCAACAGATGTGGCGGCCAAAATCCACAGTGTTGGAGATTAATCAAACGTGGAACTTATCAAATCCAGAAACTCTCCCTAGTCTATAACACTT